TGCAGAACAAATAAATATAGTTATAGCTAGGAAAAAAGACATAATCTATAAACATATCAGGAGACCTGGAGAAGGGTTTGTATGCATAAAACCTTGCTTGCTTTTTAACGATTATTTCCATTGATCTATTAAAATATATTGCTCTTCCTACCAAACTTGCCTCAAAACGTATATTCATGTATTTCAAAGCCAGAACAGACTGTCAGGTCTGATCACCACTGCTGTACTTGCCAGAGAATGTTACCTGGTTATGCTTACAATGAGACTATGCCATTTCTGAGTTTCCAGTGGGTTATATAAAGAAGTAAACTTACAAAAATACATGTCCTCTGACTTTAGCTGAGCTGGTAACTTTGCCTTTGGCATTGCAGCTGCTGTACTTCATGGGTTTTCTCCGGTTCCCTGTACAATGGAAATTTGAAAGTTCCTCACTCTTTTAGAGTGAGTCTCAATCACAAATCTGAAACTCCTGGATTCAGGCAATGACTGGTGAATCTCAGCTCTCAACAGGGGGGGAAAAGGTACCTTCTTCACTTCTGATGATTTGAAAGAAAACTTGAAAAACTAAAGACTCGAGGACGAGGAAAAAAAAACCCAACAGAAACTAACCTTATTAAATTCCACAATTTCTAGACCAGTTTCACATTTGGAGGCCTTGAGTCACGATTTCAAACTGTCCAGCTGCTACAGTCTTAAGTGTTCAACAGACCACCCCTGCAGCACACTACAGCATGCTCCTTAAATAAAGCAAGGCAGAGCAGGAGTCACTAGGAAGGTGGCACTGACAGAACATGGCACCTGGCATTCTTCAGCTTTCTCTGTTTCTCGAAAACACCCCAGATTTCTCCCTAAAAGCGTGCTTCCTTTACTTACAGTGCTCTGCAGCTCCTGCCTGCAGGAACATACCAGAGATTTTGGCACTAGTGCTGTGAAATAGTGAAACGTTATTTTATAAGGAGCCTTTCCCCCCGCTGCACTGACGGGAAGAACACAAGGCAAAGTCAAACAAAGCTCTTATTCATTGCCTCAGCCCTCTAAGTCACACACCCCCGTGCCTACGCATGCACACACAGACACACTTCAGCAAGAGCCTTGTGTGTACTCAAGCAGGCACAGCCCCAGGCAATGAAAGGAGAAAGGGCCCTCATAATTGTCATTTATCAATATTCATAAAGAATGTGCCTTAACCCCCTCTTGTGCATGCTTGGGAAAAAAACCACAAAATGAAACCCAACCAAAATAAAAATAAAATGAAATAAACATCTTGCTGCTCATTACCGCAGGGGATTTCCTCTCAATGTCACCACTACCCTGTGCAGTAATTGGCATTATCTGTTATTTCTGAAGCCATAATAAGGTTTGCCACGGGGCATTTTCTGTAATCATATTTTTATTTGTCAGCTTGTGAGATACAGACACCAAACATGAGCTTGACCAAAGCAAAAACCCAACACACACGAAATGCGCACGCCGCCAATCCCGGCTCTCGCCGGTGATGTCACGCCCAGCCAATGAGCGCCCCAGCTCCCCGCGCCCCGCTCCCGCCCTCCCCTGGCGCTGCAGCATTCCCTCGCCCGGGATAAAAGAGACTCTTCCTGCGGGAAGCGAGGATTTGCGACCTGCCCCGACAGGTGCTCCTACATTTCCGACAGAAAATACAGCCTGCGCTGAACTAGCCGAGAGCTCTCCCACGGTACGGAAGCAGGATATTCAAAAGACGGAAGCAGCATATTCAAAAGGGACTACTGATCCAGGGCGCCGGCTGAGATGTCTTAAAGGCCCTGAATTTAGGAGAGCAGACACCCAGCGTTAGGTGAATGGCAGCTTAGGAAAAAAACCCATCAGTTATGTCCAAAGAAAACTTTCTAGGCTAGGATGGTCTTACACTGATGCCCAAGGAACCCCAGGTTCCTCTGCCATTTCTTGCGCCACTGCTGAGCACGTCTGCTCCGGGCACTGCAGCATGGTGCAGAGCCCTTGGACTAGCACAGTGGAAGAGCTGGAAGCAGAAGCACTAATGCTGCATCACTGAGCTAACCGCTCTGCTTGCCAGCTCAGGCAAAGCAGCAAGGTAACACAGACATACTGTTTGCAGGATCCCATGTAATACCTCTCTGCATGGTGCTGTCTGTTCGCACCTACAGTTGCCTGTGGGTCCCTAGCACGGTGCTATGTACACAGAAAAGTCCTTAGAGAACCCTACAGTGGGTTACCTACAAGCTTTTCCCCATGGCCAAGTTGTAGCACAAAACCCCGTAAGTGACTGCACCTCACAGTGAGGTACATCAAATCTTCCCCCACTGTTTCCATTAAATAAAGTAAGAACAGAAAGCTCATACCTTTTTAAAACAACACACAGACTCAAGCTCCAAGCCTATTCTGCTTCCTTGTCTGAGCTGCTTGTTTGAAAATACCTCTCAGACACAGGTGATCTCTCCACACAGTAGCAGCAGAAGCCTTTTACTGATGGGAGGATTGGGGAATCCTTTCTGATTCTTTGATCCGGGAATCCTGGTGCATCAATACATTTTGAGCAGTGAAAGCTGAATGTGGTTACATACTGCTGTGAAAGTAAGCCACAGATATTTCACAGTGTTTTGGGAGGTACAGGAAGAAGATGGGACAATGATACGGGGCTGGGGACACCAGGCTATCAATCTATTCTGCCAGTAGGTTAGAGGCACCCACATTTAGTCATTAACCAAAGCAGAAGCCTTCATTTTTCAACATGGTCATAACTGGATAACCTGGCTGATGAGACGATTTGTCATTTCACTGCCCCACGACAGGACAAGGTCAGGCTTCATTGCTTAGGAAAGCACATTAACTTTTATACTCACACACACGCACACACACATATTTATGCATACTCTGATTTTCAAAAAGGGTCTAATGATAACTGTCCAGAATACAACACAGAGTCTAATATAACACAGAACACAAATCTCAGAGTGACCTGGAGGGAGGGAGAGCTTATGATTTACTGCTAACTTATTCAGCACTAGATGCTAGTCAAGTGGGAGTTGGCAAGGAGACAGGGGGATTTACTTCTAAACAAGACTACTGCCCACAATCCAGTATGTTTAACAGAGGAAAACGGATTCCTCAAGAGTGACATGCACTCTGCCTTGGCTTCTAAACAAGACTACTGCCCACAATCCAATATGTTTAACAGAGGAAAACGGATTCCTTAAGAGTGACATGCACTCTGCCTTGAAAATTCCACATGTTGTTAAACCTGCAGAGGTGCTTGTCTGTCTGACAGCCTCACGATCCTCACTCAGTTTATTAAAGTCTGCCATATCAAGAGGTATCCATCACAAGCCCAAAAGGCCAGTATGTATGTGTATATATGCATGCTTTCATAGAAACCTCTATCCCAACGGAGATTCATATTTCTCTGCAATATTCATGTGGAAGAGTAAATAATTTCTCTTCAGTTGTACTTAAACATTTTTGAGTCTTCTTGGATTTGGTCTCTAAGTGTTAAGCCAAGTAGGGAACAGAAACACGTATGTATGCAATCCACCAGTGGTTACACTGCCCAGTGTACATAAAAAATAACAGCTGTTATAACAACCTACATTATGCCGATTATAAGAAGGTCATGATCACTCAACCCAGCTGATTAGCAGGGAGTAAGAATTGTGGAATTCACAGAATAAAACTTGTCAGAGTTCTCTGCCAGCAGAGGAAACTTAGATCCTCTACTTAGGGCATGCAACCTGCTCTCTGCTCCTCTGGGAATTTCTCTGACTATTGTAACCCTGCCTGTGCCAGGTAGGCATTGTCCTCGGGACCTTCTCACCCAGATCTACCACCTTTGAACTGCCTCTTCTGCTAACAGTATACTCTTCTTAATATATCCTCAATAAAGGCTCTTACTTCCCTTTCCATTTATTAGAAATATTCTCTCTTTCAGATTAATATTTCCTGTTGAAATGAGTCAGAGATGTAGATGCTCTTCTTGCTGGAAGAGCAAGTTAAATATTTAGGCATCCATTTATTTTTGCTGTGGTCACTTATGCTATGGACATCTGGTTTGTGAGTTCTCAGCACAAAACTGGGGGTACAGAAAGTCGCTGTACGGTTACTGAGAAGTAACCACACAATGATTATGCAAATCCAACTACTGCAGTATCTATCTGTGGCCCTCGGCTTCCTGGAGGGGGGCATCTACGGCTGTGGCTACGGAGAAGCAGCCACGCTGACGTAATGTAAATGGTCTCCGCCAGTCAATCTATCTGCAAGGAGCTGCATTTCTGAGAAATAAGCAGGCAGTTATGGTCAGCAGCTATACAAAAACTCTGTGCTCAGACTGATTATAACAACTTGATTTCAGTATAACTTAAATTACCTAAACTTGCTGAAGATGAAGGAGAAACTGGTCCAATTTAAAACACCACCTGAAAGCACAGGTTAAACCACACTTGATGGTTAAATCATACGATGGAGTTAGTGAGTATCAATAGCAGTCAGATCAAGGAAATTCTTCCCTACTGGAAAGGAAATTAAAGGCAACTGTGACTCAAATGCCGAGAAGGGACTCAGTGAAAGTTGCCAAAAGCCAGCAGGTTTCCAAAAACTGAAGGAAGCCATGAAATGACTTTGCTGTATCTGTAATTGTCCCAAGTTTCTTCAGGGATTCATTTTGACATAGTGTATGTAATTCTCAGTCATTAGCAAGTGCCCCAAGAATGATGGAAATTAAACTGCTTTTCCTTGGTGGTTTTCATTTTCCCGGTTAAAGCATTCCCCGTGAATGAATTCTCCTCTAGTGAGAAATGACGGACAATCTTCTCCATGAAAATTCTATCTGTGACTGGCGCACTGTCTCACAGACGGCCAAGAATTAAAAAACACATCAGCACTTTACACAATGCTTTTAGAGCTTTACAACATCAGTTACTTAATAGTAAGTAAAAGTATCAAGAAATAAGATCCCTTTATTCTGTGCTTTTATGTAACAGGCAACTCCCAGTGGAAATGGCTGTACTCACCATATTGAATGACTATGGCAGAAGTCTAAAGCAGAGATGATTTGTCGGAAGAATTTCCTGGCTTCTTTTGGTGTCAATCTTCCCTTTTTTACAAGATAGTCGAAGAGCTCCCCACCAGACACGTGTTCTAGCACCAAATACCTAGAAAATAACAAAGCCAGGATTTTGTAAGCACATTATCATATCAACCCCCTCACACACACATGGTTATATACAAACACCTCTATTTGCACGCAGTCAAGGAGAACACTTCTGGAAAGAACAGTGGAAGAGAATCAGAATTTTAAAATCAGGAGTGATTAATATTTTTAACAGGAGTTCTGCAAACTTCAGACATGCCATTGTTGGATTCAGTGTTCAATATAATAGTGAGAGATAATCCGGAAGCCAAAAATGACTCAAAAGACCAGGAGGGTAAGAAGAGAATAAAGCTCCTGTGGAGTGAGACTGCATACTAGGAAGCCTCAGGTCCCTTAACCAAGCTGACAGTTCCTTTATAAAACAGCTGTGGCAAAGCTGCACTCACATACTGTTCTGTCTTGGACACCTGAGAAACAGACAGATGTCAACAAACTAGAGGCAATTTAAAAAAAAGGTGAATAGTTTAAATTATGAAAAAAGATAAAAAGAACTACATGTGTGCAGCCTACGTAAGGGCTTCAGCTTTTGCTGCTGAACAGCAGTGATTTGTTGGAGTAGCTGCTCTCCCTTGCAACTCACACGTGAAAAATGTGACACTGACTGAATAAATGTGGCACAACGGGGATCTAGGAGCAAGAGAGGAAATCCCAGACCTCACGTAGCACTCCTGGCATCATAGAGAGAAGAGTGAAATCTTCTGGAAGGAAAGGACTTGCCATGGATGGACTGTCTTGTTGTTGTAAGCAGGGGTAATGAAAGGCAGCCAAGCAGAGGAAAACTTAGTATAAATCTCTGGAAATGTTGCCCAATAGTGGGAATGAAATAGTTTCCCCAGGGAAGTGGCAGGAACACTGTCAACTGAACCATTTAAAAATAAACAAGATATAATATGGACTAAGCAATAGACTTTTATTGGCAAGAGGATTGCTTGAAACCTCCATCTCCATTGTGATTTTGTGCTCTACTGTCTCCTTGCTTAACACAAAATGAAGAAATTATGCAGTGAGATTATTTATTCAGAATCTGAAATGACAAGTATAAACAACAAATTATTATTATTTTTACTAAAAAATCACTTTTGTTCTTTGGCTCTGTTAGCTGGTTCAAACCTCGTAAGAGAGGCAGAAACCTGTACTCCTCCCTCACTGCCTAACTCCTTTGAAGTGAGTTTCAGGGTTGCACAGCAAGGCATGTGATCTGAAAGGTGGTTGCTGTAAAGCAATAATGCAAGGGTGACAGGGCATTCAAACCTTCGGCAGTTTGTTTGAGAGACATCACCAGAAAACTTGCAAAAAAGAATTAGGTATTTTTCCAAATTTTGAGTGTACTTCTCCGTCCCCTCCTCCCAACAGCACAGCAGACCAGGCTGAACTGTACGTGCAATATGATCCCTATCTCTCAATGCTTTGCTTTAGGGCAAGCTAGTTTTATTACCAGTATTAATACAACTCCTCAAATTTGAGTGGACAATGAAAAGAATTAATCCAGGATACTGTCTTTTCTGTACCTCAAGCAGCATAATCTCAGAGGAAATTTCTAAATTTGAAATGGAAAGAGGAGAAGATTATTGTAAATTTGGGGGCTTAATTATTCCTGTTTTCAATGTTTCCAAAAAGATGGAACAGTAGAAGGAGTAAAAGCTGTTCTGAGGAAAGTAAAATTGGCTTAATGATAATGGCATTAGCCTTGAAGCTGCAAAAGTGGGACCTGAGCTCCTGGTCCATCACCCTGTGTGACTTCCATGTGTCGGCTCCCAGCCAGCACAAGGAGAAAGCATTTCCCTGCCTTACAGAAATGCAGCAGAGAATGCAGTAAGAGATGGACATTAATACTGTCTTGCCACCTAAGTAAATAGTACAAAAGCACAAAAAAGTGGACAACAAAATTAAATTCTAAACTTTAGGGAATTAAAATGGTATTTTCTGCAATTTTTATCAAAATAGAAAAACAGTTACGAGAAATATGGTAATATTGACCTTTTTTCCATTAAAATGAGTAAAAAAGAGAAAAATCTTGACTTGAAAATCACATTTGGAATATGTGCGTTATCTTCTCTCCAAGAAGAGATATGAGTAGTAACCAGACTGAGTACACCTTGGTAATATGGAGATCACCGTTTATCTGCATTACATTTTTGAGCAAGACATTGAACCACTCAGAAGAACGCCGATATGCAGTAGCCACGGGCACTGGGGTGTCCATATTTTCAAGTCCCAATCCTCGCATTCCAAGCCTTGGCTAACAGACACTCTGGTAAGAGGGTTTGCTATATAATTCATTCTCCCTCTCATACTAGAGACAAATCTGGCTAACTATCCCATATGGCAGGCCCAAGCCTGGCACAGAATCAGTCCTAAAATCCTCCTTGACAGCTCCCTCTCTCACTGTGCCCAGCAGAAGCTGGATACAGCAGTGCATCTTGCCCCCAAAATTCAAATTGCTAGCTGCTTTCTTTTCCTGGGAGGTATTTTACGAAGATGATTGCAGTTACAGGCATACAGAACACCCTCCACACTGGTTTCAAATGCACAGTTTTGGAAAATTACAGACCCAGCATTTCTGTCACCCACAGCAGGAACTGCAAAGCAATTTATTTTCATCAACTTCATCTTATTAAAAACACTCAACAAAAATGCACTGACACGTTGTATGAAAAATAAAACAAATTGAAAGACAGGGAGCATTTACAAGGTTATTCATTTTTGCTTGCCACCTAGAAGCACCAGATACAATAATGGAAATGAACAGGGGAGAACATTTGAAAAAGATTTGTGCCTATGACAAGTCAAGGGACACAGAGAAGCACAGTGACAATGTATTCTGATCTGACAAAGCCCCCAACGTGACAGGAGTGAGAAGGACGACAAACACATTCCCCAGTGGTCAACTGCAAGAAACAAATGCTGCAGGGATCATTCCACAAGTACTACGTGGTTATGTTGTGGCTAGGATTTCTGAGTTCGGATTTGCAGCTGGTCACCCGCCAACCCTATTCCCTCCAGTACGATGCGTTTTTTTTTAGGATAGCCCCCAACTAGGAGATTTTCGATTAAACAAGGGCATAATTCAGCACCTGCCTCCATCTCTGTGCAAGCCAATGTTTTGCTGGCGCATTACATGGCACAGTAGTAGTACACGTTATTTCCAAACAGACCAACAAGAGGGGTTTAAACATTTCCAAGTGTTGCACCGGTTCTAACTATCAACTGTATGGCTTACACAATCCCCACTAAATGCTGTACGTCTGTACCTGTCCATCTATCTGTGTATGTGTGAGTGTGTCTGAGTGACTCCATAAAAGAAAAGAATACACACTCTGAAAAGCCAAACAGGGAAAGCAAAGGGAAGAAAGAGCATTATTCCAGAGGCTGGAAAATAAGGCGTACAGACACCACATCTTTCCTGCATCTGTGGCACGGAAGAGAATCCAGATCTCCTGAGTCCACATCAGCATCTAAAATCCTTTACTTTAGCAAAGTGCTATAGGATTGGAAGTATGCCAATGCCAACTCTTGGAGAATCTAGGAGAAGGTAAATAACACATAGCCTATAGGGAAAAAAACCACTAAGAAGTATTTTCCTGAGTTTCCCCTTTCCTTTTATCTTTCCCAAATATGACAGGTTCTCATCTCACTGTAGTACTACTTTTCCCACTTATTCTAAGCAAGCGAGCGAGTTCTAAAAATCCCAGAAGATTAACCAGAACTAGTCTCCCATTACATTCGGAGATGAAAAGTAACTTACTAGTGAATGAAGCTTTTTTTTAAAATCCTGTCTACGTAAGATTGACAGCTTCAGTCTTCCCACTGTAAAAATGTAGGAAACCCTGCTCTGTAATAGCCATTGCAAGGAGGTTCAAGGAAAGGAAAGACCCAGCCTCTAGCTGGCAGCATGCACACTACCTGCTGTGATAATACAGAGAGGAGCTATATTAGGACAAAAGACTCTGTAAGAGCACTTAGCTCTCACATCTTGGATGCTCTGGACACACACCAGCTCTTCTAATCCTTGCATTTCACATGAGAGAAGCATTACAAGTATTAACCTCCTGTTCTTTACTGATAGGGAACTGCGAAGCAAAGTGACGTGCCCAGGGTTACAGCCACCCAGAATCAGAGCTGTGGTCTCTTGTGCCTTCTACTCCATGCTGTCCCCACCACCAATTTCCTCTCTGCTTGCTAGGACACTGGAAAAGCAAGAAAACATCAGGCTTCTGCAACTCAATATGAAGCCAAGTGCATGTGGTGTTAAAAATAAATTCTCGATTACTTGTTTTCCTCACTAGATATATTCTTTAAGAGGTTGCAAAAATTTTCACAGGCCACAGCTTGCTTTCATAAAGACACCAAGGTCCACGTCTTGCATGATATCTCATGTCCCTGCTACAAGCCAAGACACAAAACAAAAAATCTCTGGTTAAGTTTCAGAGCTTGAAGGAGACAAGATTTTGGTCTTTAAAGACCAAAATGCTTAATACAAGAATAATTTCATCTATTGGACAGGAGCAGAGAGATTGCGTGCAGCAGCATTCTATCTATTCCCTTTGCCATTTTTCCATCTGCATCCCATCATCACCACCTGTAAGCCAGTAAGTTCCTAACCACAAATGGCCCACTACATATCATATGAGAGACATGCATGCAGCTTATAAAAGCAAGCTCAGAATAATCCTAGGCTCTTTTCTTTCTTTCTTTTTGGTTCATTTTATTTACTCTTTCAGGAACCAAAACAGTAAAGAAGTAATAACAAAAACTAAACAGTATAGCAAAGGGGGGAGGATTTCTGCATGTGAAAGAGATGGAGTAGCCAAGAAGAATATGGAGAAATGTGGTCTTAAACTACCCCTGTGCCCCTCAGATTCTGGCTATACCAGGAACCAGCACAGACTCCAAGCTCTCTAACTCACAGTAGCCTCCCCATGGTTGACTGTGGCTTGTTCTGTAGCTTAGACTGGAAATCTAACAAAAAAGCACTGTGCCTCTCCTCCTCATTACCCCAAC